GGCGGCGGGAGTGCAGCGGGGTGCGGGGTGGCCCCGCTCCTCGGGGCTCTCCCGGGGCTCCCCGCGCCACCCCATACAGTCCCGCTCACCTGGCGCCTCCGCAGCCGCGGGGATAAAACGCGGGCACGGGCCCCCTGCGTGCAGAACCTTCTCTCCTGCTTGAGAGCAGCTTCTCTAGGTCATCCTGAGTGCACGGCTTAGTCCTGGGGCAAACAGCCTTATGAAGGTCTCTGTTTCTATGCTGTGCTGTCTGCTGCCCGTGCTCATACAGTCTAATCTCTGCTATATTCCACTGCATATGCCACTCTCTATATGTGTTACGTTTAGTTAGAAGCGTCCCGTATATCAGTTGATCTCTGTAGCTCTCAGCTTACCTGAACCTGAAGCTACCCAGAGGTACCAGAGCTCCTGGGAGGCAAACAGAGTGTCTGAAAGCTTGTTCATTTGTTTGTTTGTTTTTCCTAAGTAATTATGAATGGGAGATGTTGCTATTCTTTCTGGAACTTACCCTGTTCTGACTTTGGGAACTTTGTTGTTCTCTCTAGCTACTGTCAGGCCCAAAAATGAAGTAGAGCAGAAGCACAATCTCTGCTATATTCCACTGCATGTGCCACTCTTTGTATGTGTTACATTTAGTTAGAAATGTCCCATATATCAGCCGGTCTCTGTAGCTCTCAGCTTACCTGAACCTGAAGGTATCCAGTGGTGCCAGAGCTCCTGGGAGGCAAACAGAGTGACTGAAAGCTTGCTCATTTGTTTGTTTGTTTTTCCTAAGTAATTAGGAATGGGAGCTGCTGCTGTTCTTTCTGGAGCTTACGCTGTTCTGACTTTGGGAACTTTGTTGTTCTCTCTAGCTACTGTCAGGCCCAAAAATGAAGTAGAGCAGAAGCAGCTCTGTGCTTTCGGGGAGTATGTGGCTGAGATTCTGCCCAAGTATATCCAACAAGCACAGGTAGGTGCTATCCCTGGGAGGGGAGCTCCATCTGCCCATTCTTGCAGGAGGGACAAATGAGTGTGCTGGTTTTTGGTAGATGTGAAAAGTTGTTTTGGGGAACACAGATTGTCAGAATTAGGTGAAAGTTACCTCTGTTACGGAGTCTCTTTGCTTGATGTCATGCACGTCTGCTGTGCCCTATCCTCTCCGTGCTGAAGTGTCCACTGGATTCAGTGCGGGATTCAATCCCATTAGTGTCCAAACTACTTTTCCTCCTACTGTTTTCTTTAGGTGACCTGCTTCAATGAGTTGGAGCTTTTGATCCATCCAGATGGGATCATTCCAGTCCTGACCTTCCTTCGCGATCACACCAATGCTCAGTTCAAGTCGCTGGCTGACCTGACTGCTGTTGATGTCCCGTCCCGGCAGAATCGCTTTGAGGTGACACTGGCTCCTAGGTGCAGGGCTCCGAAACTGTCACGTGTGCTGCTGGCTTTGGGTGCTGCTGCAGCTCTGACTACAGGCTCTGCTTTCTGACAGTCAGCAAATCCACTCTGAAATGCTCGTTTTGTTTATCCTTTTGATCATGGAACCATAACAGACGTGGCACTGACACACTCGGTTCGATGGGTTTGGCTTTCCCTTTGTGCTCTGTTAGCAAGTCTTTTAAGACATGTAAACCAGGAGAAGATACCTGGGGCTCATGTTCTGTAGGAGGCTGATTATGGTTTAGGCTGAAGAAAAGTCCTTTCTCTGTCCAGTTCGGGCAGACCCAAACAGGCTCAGGTTCAGACAAGAGAAAATGTGAGCAGCATAAGGGTAGCTTTTGGTTCCCAGTAAGTAACCAGGATGATGAAAAGCTGATTTATTTCTCTTGTTTTGGTCTATCCTGTGATGTTAAATCACTTACCAAATGCTGCTCATAAAACAAGTTAGCAGAGGACAGGCTTACCTTACCTGAATTTCCCTAATCAGAGGATGTTTGTTTTTTTGAAATATATCTCTGCTTTGCTAACAGCTAACAGTTAGTTACATTAGTAATGTAAGTTGTGTTATGCTAAAATGCTGCAGAGACGACATAGTTTCTTTGCTTTCTGTTCAACTGTCCAGTCTTCTGAGGAAGCTGAAGATTTCTGAGTTTAGGATTTTTCTTTTATAAATCAAGATAATAAAGCATAGAATTTTTCAGCTACCTGCATAAAGACAGTCAAAGATGCTATGTGATGCCTTGCAAATGTGATATGTTAAGTCTGCTTGTAGTATGTGGTTTTTTTTCTCCATCGGAGGTTCTAATAATCCTTGTAAGCAGATTTTATTGGTATTTTTATCACCAGAATGATTGAAATTTCCCCTGCTATTCTACTTCATTGCTGAAACTTAAGGGGATTTCCTCTTATCTTTCTCCCACTATGTGCTTAGCTATTTTATTTGTGACAGATCCTTTCAGTATTGATTTTTTTTTTTTAAGATATGTATCCCTGTTTTTTTGAGCTCTTTGTAAGTCATGTTTTCTATACTTCTCATCCTTTTTGTTACACTTCTAAGGAAAAATCAGGGATAAGCTACTGGAGCCTCAGTTGTAGAGTGTCTTTTAGCACCCAGATCTGAAGTACTGATGTGATTTTGCTGGAAAAAAACATTATTTGAAATAGCATCCATGTGTCTCTGCTTATCCAGTATTATCCTGTGAAGAGATCTTTAAAGTCTATACAAGACCAAACATTTTTTTTTTTGTTTTGCTTTGCTTCAGATTGTTTACAATCTCCTGTCGTTGCGGTTCAACAGTCGGATCCGTGTGAAGACTTATACTGACGAGCTGACACCTATTGATTCGGCAGTGTCTGTGCATAAGGCAGCAAACTGGTATGAAAGAGAGGTGAGCTGCAGTGCACTTAGAAGTGGGGTCCCTGTGGAAAGAGGTAGTTTTCCTGATGAAACTGATCCCTACTGTCTGTTTTCGGGAATAGGAGAAGAAATGTTTTAGATATTTGTCTGGAAGATTTCCTGAATCATTTGCAGAGACATTGCATAAACTCAGCAGGCAACTGATTTTTTTCTGGCATAATACACAAAGGGCTCCTCTTTCTGAATAAGAACCTTACCTTTGGCATTGTGTTTGAGGACCCCTCTGTTTTCTTGATTGCACTGGCCTCTCTGGATGAGGAGGGGAACCAAGGGGTGCTGGGAAGATTGAAATGGTGATAATGTATCTAATTCAACTTGTCTGGCTCTTTTTTATTTTTATTTAGGTTTGGGACATGTATGGTGTTTTCTTTGCCAACCATCCTGACCTAAGGAGAATTCTCACAGACTATGGGTTTGAGGGCCACCCTTTCCGGAAGGACTTTCCACTCTCTGGTTATGTGGAGGTAGGAGACATGCTGATGTCTGAAATGAATAATCTCTCACAGTTATCTGAGCTTCAATACAGAGCTGTGACTACTTTATAATCTTTGGTCAAAAAGGCCTTAAGGAGATTTCACGCGTCTGCCTTCCAGAGGAGTTGCATGTACCTCTAGCATGGACATTTAAAGTCCTGACAAAGGACTTCATAACAATAGAGCCTAAGGCCAGAGACACTGAATGAATTTCATCTGCTATATGCAAGCCTAGGGGAATTGTCAGGCAAAGAAAGCCCTGGTTTTAGTGTCTCATCTGGATATTGAGCTTTCCATTGAAAATGTGGAGATTCCCAGAGGTTTAAAGGGCCGAGTCAATCTTTATGCAGTTGTAACTTCACTTTGTGGGATGTTCACAGGCAAGTGCCTAGGTTATAAAACTCCTCAGTTGCACTTACTTTTCCTGTTTATCAAATTTTACCCCTATGATCATGAGTGCAATAAGTATGTTCGGTCTCTGCTTAGTTTTAAATGACCATCTTGCAGAAACACTGATACATGGTGCGGTTCTAAGACTGAGCTGAGTCTCAGGAGAAGATGGTGAAATGCTGCAGGGCAGCAGAGGGCTTTAAGAGAACAGAAATGGCAGGGAATTCTGTGAGTGAGGATCACGCAGCATCTCCTAAGATGTTTTTTTGGCAATCTTGACTGACAGAATGAGGACAAATTAAGCCTGTCAGAAGTGTTTGAGCTAACCTACCCTTCATTCAGGTCTTCTTCTTGCCCCATGTTCTGAGCTTTATTCAAAGAAGCCAAACTGAAAACAAAGACACTGCTGCAGTAAAGTTTTGTGATGATTCATGAGAATGGTGCCCGGGTGTGGGCCAGGAATGGGCCAGGGGTTTGCAGTGGCTCAGGAGAACTGACCACCTTATTCCCAGTGGGCTGCATGTGACTATCACCTGGGTACTCCTAAGTCAGGGCTGTTAGCCAGGACAGCAGGGGTGCATGATAATAAAGATACAGGTTATCCTGGAGCATTCAGAGGTCGTGGTGGCATCTGGAGGGTGTTTTTGTTATTGTTCTTTGTTTGTTTTTAAATAATAGGTAGGATTGAAACTATGGCAAAGACCTGTGGCCTGTGTATGGTGCAAGAACCTGTGGCCTGGGAGCATGTCATGACTGGGTACAGCTAATGGTAGAGCTCCTAAGTCTGGGGACTGTATAATAACAACTGGCCTGTGTCCTTTGCACTATTACAGGTGCGGTATGATGATGAGGTGAAACGGGTGGTGGCAGAACCTGTGGAGCTGTCTCAGGAATTTCGGAAGTTTGATCTGAATAGTCCTTGGGAGACATTTCCTGCCTATCGTCCTGCTCCAGAAACCCTGAAAATAGAAGCAGGAACCAAGAAAGAAGATGCAAAATAGTGGCAGAAGGAAGAAGATGTGTGGAACTATCCTTTCTGTTCTGCCATAGTATTTATAATAATAAAAGGTGATATGATGTTCTTGCCTGTCATGGTCGCATAAATAGTGGTGATATTGAACTGTCTGAAGAGCACAGGATGAGGAGTGTAATTTACAATCCTGATAGATAAACATATTCCAATTGGACCTCTGTTTTGAGTCACAAGACGCTGAATTTGTGTCTGTTTGGCTTGCACATTGAATCCAGGCATTTCCTGTGGCTAGGATACTTTAGATACACTGTGTCTGCTAGCTGTCTCTGCAGATGTAAATCCCAGCTCTCACCAGTACAAGCTCTAGGAGCCTGTGGTGCAGCAGCTGTGGAGCTTGACCGGTGGACAGCAGCATTTCGGCTCTGAGGTGGGTACACAACAGCCCAATGAACAGGCAGAGCCTGTTTTCTAAATGGTTGTAATACAGCCGCTATAGGACAGCACAAGTTACATGGATGTGGACTGGAACAACTGTGGCAATGTTTGCATTGTTTCCTTGGGAATTGGGTCAGTGTCTGTTCTGCTGGCACAAGGAGGAGCTGCAGATAATCTCTCACATGTCACTACTTCACTCTGATTTTTGGGTTTTTTTTTTTTATTTGAATCTAGTAATCTTTCCTTCCAGACTCTGATCATACTACTATTCTGCAGTCAGAAACATCTACCCTTTCTCTAAGGATTTAAAGCCTTTTTGTTAATATTTCAAATCTTCTAAGTTCTGTGATATCATAGCATTATCCTTGCTCTTGTGGAAACCCCCGACTTTAAAAAAGCAGGAGAAGTATTGTAGTTTCAGTTGCTCCGTCACCTGTTTAAACAAGATTTCATTACAGCAGTCATCCATTAATAATGCCACTTGTCTCTAGTCTAGAAAATGCATGATGTAACTGTGTATCTGAAAGCTGATTGCCTTCATTAAGATGTGAAAATGATCATATATGAAATTTCATAAAATAATTTACCAGCTGTTTGTAGAGATCCCCTGAATCATCACAGTACTTCTTAAGGCTTTTTAAATGACAAATTAAAAAAAAAAAAAAAAGGATCTGGGACAGTTTAGAGGTTGGGGATGAAGGAAGGCATAGAACAATAAGAATTTCAAATAAAGGAAGAAAAAGGGCAGTTAATGAGTTCCACTAGGATATGTTTTTTTTTTTTTTCCAGCAACAAAACAAAATCTTAGAGCTGAATTGTATGGTAAAAAATCAACTTCATGTTTGTTTGTTTCCACCCTAGCCTTGTAAGCATTAACTTCAATACTTTCCCCTCTTAATTTGTTTCAGACTGTTGTGGCTGATGATACTCAAAGCAACATTTTCCATTTAAAATTAAAATCATTTGTCACCCTCCTTAAAAGTTATAGCTCTTTTTGGGAAGGAGAAGGGAACACACAGAAATTAACAGAAATTCTCGATTTTATACAATTCCTAGCTCCACTTAATTGATGGAGCAGACAGATTTTGGCTGAGTAAGTAGGAAAATGCACTTTGGGTCTTTCCTGCATGTTCCAACAGCTGGTTCTGTTTTCTGGTACACTGGCTTTTCCTTCATGCCAATGCCTCTTGCTCAAGACAGAAAAGTTTCTGTTGTCATTTTTGTTACTGTGAAAATGCTTTATAAAGCACATCCTTCCTCTACTTTTTCTCTTCCCTCATCCCAGGCTGTTTGAGGCAAAATGGCAAGATTTGTGGCCTGTGTATCATAAAAATATGTATTCCTCACTGTGATAAGCCAGGAGACTTAGGATAGCTGGAACAGAAGAAAAACTGTTTTTGGAACATAATATGTATGCAAAGGGTGAATTTGATTGACATAAGAGAGACAAATGTTAGACACGATGCCATGCCAAGTTAAACAAAGCGCAAGGTTTGCTAAAGAAAGGTGAGCACTCAAGTGTGAGTAGCCAGGCCTATGGGACAGGCTTGGACTCCAGCAGGTCTTTCATATGCAGAATAATTGTTAACGGATCCACATCTCGTGCACTTTGTACACTCCCAGACTTCTCTAACAACAATTCACTCGCCCAGACATACTCTCCTTGGAGACTAGGGGCCAAACAACTTTGCAAAGTACTGCTGGTTTTGGCACGCTACCCTCGCAGACCCCACGTCTGTGCTCCAAGGGCTGTTCTCACCCTTGCTCCATGGCACACTCTCTCTTGTCCCAGGCAAAGCTTCAGCTATCTGCAAAAAAAGTCTGGGTCAACACTCAAGCAGCTTTTGCAGATTTTGATGCTGCAGATCTTGTTCTCCTTTCCCATTGTCCTGCTTCAAGAACCTATAGTAGAAAAGGCTCAACCTGTCAAGGTGCCCCTGCAGAAACTGGGAGTGATGTGACGTCGCTTCGAAGCTGTTTCTGCAGCAGACGGTATGACCAGAGGGTGTGTGGAGGGGACAGGATTGCGCCCACTCAACTGTGAATACCTGGTAAGGACAGAACTTTCTTGGGAGAAGCAGGTGCACCACCTAACACTGGACATGCTGGGGCAATATGCTGCTGGCAGAAACCCAGGCTTGCTTCTGTGCGCAACTCCCAAACAATTACTGCTGCTTTGCAAACAAGTAAGGGTTAGGATATGTTTATGAACACTCTCCGATCACCTTCCTATGTGGAATAGTGAGAGACACAGCAGATCTACAAATTCCCCCAGCTCAAGCCACTATCTGTCACTAAGGTTCATCTTCTGAGTGGCACTGCACCAGTCACATAAGTACAAAGTATCTTCCTTTTGACATTTTAGTTGCATGCTGTTCCTAGGAAATACTCCTGTTAATAAAGTCAAATGTGACTTCGCAATGTGACTTCTAGACAGGGTCATATACAGCGTGGATTGCCAGGGGACTCTGGCACAAAGCAGTAGACACATCAATCTCACTGCGCAGATAGGTCATCAGAGTTTTCCTTTTGAATAGCATATTCACAGTTCAGTAAAAGATATCCTGAAGAAAGGAATGTAACTAAAGCAGAAGTAGCAGAAAATAATCAAAGTTGACAGAAGGTAGCTTCACTTTAAACTAGCCAAGGCTATACCATGTATTTTTAATCAGAAAACATTTTTTTTTCCCTAAGGGATACCTTTAACCTGACAGAGATGGTGTTGCCACTTATTTGTATAACTAGCAGCCAAGGACCTGTTGGTGAGCCAATGACATCAGTGTGCCCCACAGTAGAAATACAGAACAGCTCGAGTGGGGCCTAGGCACTAATAAAAGTGCAAAGATACGTGGATTATCAGTTTGATCATTATTTCTTTGCATTAGGAGGTATTATTTTGTTTGTTTACACTTTTTACTTCATTACCCTTTGTTCAGGTCTCTCTGATTTTCAAATTTAAACACACACATAAAGGTGTAGGTTTCTGCTGCTTCCTTTTTCCATTGCAGATTAGGCTTATGCTAGGACAGATACCTGGTGTGAATGCAGTAAGATGAAGTTTTGTCTGTATAATTCACAATTCCTAAAGCAGACCATGCTCACTGTGACCCAGAAGTCTTGTCCCAGCAGAGGATAAGGCGCTAAAGTCTGGATGGCTCCAGTCTTTGCTGTTTGTTATTAAGTTCTCCCTTAGAAGGTTTGTTACATAACTGAACAAGTGACATTTCTTCTGCCTGCTCGTACATTTGGCTGCAACTAATAACTTTCTTTAGTATATAGCAGTGAAAAAAAAAGTTAATCCTGTGGAAGAGTTTAAACAATTCTGCCAAAACTTTCACAGCAAAGTCTTCAAGTTTCCAAAATATGATGGAAAACATTTTTTGGGGACAGCAAGTTCAATTGCAAGCCCTTCCCAGGGCTGGACGCAGAAATAGAGAAAGATGGATCTGTTCCAAGAGAGCCTGCTGGGAGTAGAAGCAGCAAGGAAGGAGCGCACAGCAAACATCTCACGCTTTGCATGCAGCGTTGTCTGTGGGGCAGCTGCGAACCGCGGCCGGGCGGCGCTGTCATGCTCCAGGTGCAGCTCAACGCCTGGCTGATCCTGTACGCGTGTGCTGCATTCCCAAGGCTCACAGGTACGAAAGGCATCTCATAGTGATGTGGCCTCTTGGTTTGGCAAGTGCTTGTGCAATTCCAGTGGTGCTACATTTTGCTTGCTTCTTCTAATACAGTCAAATTCATTGGCAAGCTGTGCTGACGTAGGCAGAGAGCATTTTAACTGAAGTCCCAGCTGGATTCTGCTCTTAATGAAGAAAAATACGGAGTTTATTTCCACGGAGTCTTGAGACTCATGCAACTTTTGGTGTCAGAGAGAGAGTTATCTTAGGTCTTTGCTGAAAATGTCTGCCTCTGCAACAGTGTTTATGGATTTTCTAGATCCTGTCAAATGATTTAAAAAAAATCCTGTTGAATTATTAAAAAAAATAACCTGTCTCTCCATGTCCAGAGGACTTTTATGTTATTATTTTGATATATTATTTGGTATGCCTTCTTTAAATTTCTCATTACTTCTTCAAAAAAAAAATCCAAGACTGCATATATTTATGTTTAAGTTTTAATAAGAGCAGTTCGCTGGCTTTCAAAAAATTCACTGACTTTGCAGCCAATTAGATGTGTTTCAGTAGAGGTAACTGTGAACTTAGCTACAGGAGGGTGAAATCTGGGTCAGTAGCTGAGAGAGAAGCCCAGAAGATTCAGATAAAGACATGTTTTTACCTGAGCTATAAGCCTTAATAGCACATTGCGAGTGCAGGAGGAAACAGCAGCCAGCATCCCAGCCCACATTCCAGAAGATGCAGCTGCCTTAGATCAGGCAGCCTGCAGCTGTTTGGAGAAACAACCCCCTTAGCCAGCAGGGAGAGCAGGACACTCCTCCAGGCGGCTTGCACATCTCCATGAAAAGCTTTAATCAAGGACGGAAAGTTAGAAGTGCATTTGTAGTAGTCACCACACACATGCACAATTTAACCTTTTTTTGTATATATAAGCACCTCCTGACATTAACTCTCAAGTACGTTTTTTTCTCTCTTTCTTATATTAAAAAGCCTTTATACTATATATATAAAATGTCAGAGAGCTTACTATTTCTTGCCAACTTTTTCCTTTTTGGTGGTTCATTCCTTGTGCTCGGAGCCAGTCTGTGGTTCAAACTGTGATTCTCTGCCTCGCCTCTGTTTCATCTCCCTGGCCTGAAGGATGAGCTTCTAACCTGTAGAAGACGGTCTTGCTTACCTGACTACCCTGATAATGCAGAAAAGGGAAGGGTTACAGCCTTCCTTTTGGGGTCCTCACCTGAGGCTGCTTTTTATTTTCCTTCAAACAAAGATGCCAGAGCATCATTACCTTTTCAAAAAACTAGGAAGCAACCAAAGTCATCAGTGCAAGCTCCTTTTCTAACCAGCCCTCAGCATGAGAGGCTTCCTCATTGTCCAGCAAAGCAGGTGCCTTGGCTCCCATGGGCTTTGGCTCTGTAAGCAGGCACGCTCATCATCCCCAAAACTTCCACTTGTCCCCACTAACCACTTCCACTTCTCTTGCAGAGCCTGTTCTGCCCACCCAAAATCTTGTGATCAGCATCTGCCATATTTGGTAAAATACGAGCATCGGCTCAAAAATGCTGAAGACATGACTGACAAGCGACAACAAAAACAAGCAAGGGCCAGGATCGTGCTCTCCCAAGCTCTGTTTAATGTTTTCCAGATGAGCATCTTTACAGCCAGGACGGTGCTGGGGCGAGCGTGCGTCATCGCCGGCCGGAGGACGCCGCCGTGCTCTTCGAGGTCGCCTGTGGGCCGGGGCTCCGCTAGCTCCCGCTGCTCCCGCCCTGCGCTGCGGAGGAGCTCCCGTGCTGCTCACCGCGTGGCTGCCCCTTCATGGGAAGGGCCATTTGGTCATGATCTAATCCCACCTGCACTCGCCCTGCCCAAACAGGGGTCCTCCCGGCCCCCTCCTCTCCCTCATGGCCACCACAGATGTTGCTGGAAGGATGCCCAAGTGCAGGGGTGACCTGCCGGGTGCCTGCGATCCAGGTTCTGCTTCGCTCTCGGAGGGGACTGATCCCGGCAAGGGCCAGTGCCCATGGGAGCTCGGGGCTGCCTGCTGGGGCCGCTTTGCCTCCCGCCGGGCCCCTGGCCACCTCGCTGGCTGCAGGGCAGGGGGTTGGGGCTCACAGGGATGGACTCAGTCAGGGTGAGGAGGGTCCTGGGCAGCTCTCTCAGTCCAGCCTGGGGTTTGTCCGATTTGTGGATGGCCTCGCACCTCCGTGAAGGTTTGTGCAGGGCTTCCCATTGGCAAGCGGCTCTTCTCTTCCAGATGCTCTCGGCAGGGCTGGAGATTGAGGCCAACAGGACGAGGCCGGCAGTTTGGCTACGAGACGAAGAGCTGGCCTCCCTGCGTCCAGCACGGCGGTTCCTCCAGGTGTTCAACAGTGAAGTTCCCAAAACACCGGCAGAGATCGAGCAGCAACTGCAATATTATTCACTGACTGATACCACTTTGCCCATAGAGGAGTTTGACCGTCTCCTTTTCACCAGTGTTTACTGCGCCTATCAGATTCGCTCCATTCAGGGTCTTGATAAAAATCGCTGGATCGGTCTTTTCTCACAGCTAGTTGATGAAATCTTTCGCGATCTCTGCAAAGGCGTTTGCCCTACAAATTCCACCCTCCTCCTGGCTTTCTGGCCCTGGAAGGATAAGCCGCAACATTTAGCATTGTTAAAGCAGTTCTATCCTTCCAACCTGGTGAGGACCAAGAGAGACACTTAGTAAGGGGAAGTGCCCTCACCAAGGACATGTCTGAGTTCAGCTGCACGCTCTGCTGTTCTCAGTGCTGGCAGTCATTACACATGATGCAGGATGCTGTGCAAGAGCACCTCCCCTTCTCGGTCCTGCTTTCTGCGCTGTGCTGCCAACCTCTGAGGGATTTATCCACAGCCTTTCAGTTTTAAATGAAGTAGGACAAAGCTGCGGAGCATATTTCACACTTTCCTCTGTGTTATTGAAGTGGGTTGTGCAGAGGGGGCTGGGTTCTTCAGAAGCATTACCCGGCTCAACCCCTGATGCTTAAAAAGGGGATATCCTGACAGTTTTCTCCAGGATGTTAGCACCAGTGTACCAACAGAATTCATCTTCAGTAATTTAGTTTTGCCTCCTTATATTCATTCTCATCCATTTAGCTGAATGCAGCACTTTTTCTTCGCTGCAGGAACCCACTAGATAGATGCTGTTGTGTTTCGCCATAAAGGCAATATATTTAATTTCAGATCTCTGGTCATGTGACATCCCATTTTAAATATCTACATAAATTTCCCATATTGTGTATTCATTTTCCTTAACAACAACAACAAAAAAACCAAACAACTGCCCCTCCCCCATCCCAATGTATATATTCTGTGAAGCTTTCTGGTATACATATATCACATTTGCATACATATGCTGCTTTGTATATAAGTTATATGTTTGTTATAAGTTTGGAATACACTTCCTTATATCACATTTAAATTCCTATGGATCATGACCTAGTTATTGCTACTGTAGATTTTACCTCTTCTGTGAGGTCTTTTTCAACAGCTATGGCACTTTAAAAACCCAATCTAATAAATACACAGTCTCTATTGTCAAAAACAGGAATGTAATTATTTTGTAGAACAAGAGCATTTACACTTCTCTGTCTTGCACACTGTAGCGAAGAATTAAGGCAACACAATTAACTACCTGGGAGGGTTTTGATTTTTTGTTTGTTTCTATTGGTTTCCTGCTGCCATTATAGGCCCATTAAATTTGGACATGCAGTCCTTGCATGGTGAGAGCCTTAATTTCCTTTGTGTCAATATACTTTTAATTTCCCAGGCTCAACAAAAGAGAAATGTATGACATTCAAAGCAACAACTGCTCCCTTCTGACCTAGTTTAGTTTTCTCAGTGCTATTGTTACCCAACAGATGGAGAGGAGAAACAGTGAGACAGGAAGGAGAAGCCTGGAAGCGAGGTGTCACAGGGAATGGTTTTATAGGTCAGATTAAGACTATAACAGGAGGGACGGGTTTATAGAGTCTACAAGGTATATTTTTTTTCCAAAAGACGTAGGAATTAAGATTAGTGTTCTTTTTAAATTCCAACTTCAAGACAGCCAAGTTAACATCTCAATGGACTTCCATTATATATATATATATATATATATCTTCACTTACCACCCTTCATGCTTGCTTTATGTTAATATGTCTTCAGTCTTTAATGTCTAGGATATGCAGGGGCAATGGAGTTAGAGACTGACTGCAGACAAATTTACCTTGAGAAGAGAACTTGACTTAGAGCCTGAGTTGGGATAGCACCAGTTCATGAAAATATTGTCTTGTTAAAGAATATAAAGTCTGAGCCTTGTGAATCCCTGGATAAAGGCGAGGCTTTGGCTTCATGAATCATATACAAAAGTACTGCTTTGAATTCAGAATTTCACTAGGAGCTTTGTTGTTTACTGAGTAGATTACAAACTAAAGCCAAATGATATCACAAATCTGCATTCACATTTAAGATGGGGTACTTTTGCAGTTTATGCCATTTGAAAGACAAACCAGAGCTTAGCTGAGTGTCAAGCCCAGCTTGAACAGACCAGTGCACTGATCAATCAGCTATAAACAAATCACCAGCCTACTCATTTCCCATTGTCCACCTCAAGCTCTGGCTGTCTCCCCATCCTGCAGGAGTATAGTACCAGACCAAACTCCAAAGGCTCCAAGGAATATGGTTTGATAGGAAAACACTGGAACCTAGGTGCTAAAAATATCACTTAATGGTGTCTTTGGTCATGTCTTGGTTAGAGTAGTCATATGGTGTGAGGTGGTCAGCCATATCCTTGTATTCAAGGAGATCACTGCAAGGGAATATACTGTTACTGCATGGCACGCTACTCGCTCATACTCACGAGCCTGCACCTGACACACACACACACACACACCCCCACACACAAAAGATTATAAAATACACGTTGTGCTTCTCTTACTTGCTTCGGAGATTTCAGAGGTTGGTCAGTTCATAGATTTGGGCCTTCCTCCTTTACAAGGGCTAGATGTGTATTATTTTGTTGTTTATTTTTGAATGTATTACTATTTTCGTTAAACGGAAGCTGAGATTTTCCAACACACTTTCTTGACTTCAGCAACTTCAGATTAAGAAAAGCAAGTACTGTGAATCTCTCAATAAAATCATAAGAGGTACCAGCACCTCACACACACATCTGATCTTGCACAGAACACGCAGACAGACTGGCTCAGTAACACATACCACAGCTCGTTTAGTCACCATGTTTCTTCCTCTCCTGAAGTAGTATCTCAGGCATTACAAAGCACATGGGTTTCACAGGCAATAACAAATTCAAATATCAGCAAATTTTATTTTTTTGTTTTGTATTTTTATTACATTCATTTGCATTACATTTGTTCCCTCCCCAGATATGCAGAAAAAGTCTTTTGCTTTCTGGATTCTAGGGTTCTTCAGACTACTGCAGACTACTGCAGTGTCTCTCATCCTGTAGGCACCTAACCACACCGCCCCACCCCACCCCAAAACTACCTCATGCTTTACACTTAAATCAAACACCAACACAGGACACACACTTACATCCTGTAAAGACCTTTCTACGGATGAATGACAGACACAACAACAGCCCTGCAGCCATGGCACAAGTGTGTGGCATTAGGGAAGCACTGGACACATGTTAGCATGCTCAAAGTAGAAGATGACACCTAACAGGAGTTGGTACAAGTTGGCCCAAGTACATGGCACCTTGGCTTCTCTAAATCTCCTTTTATATCACATTTAATTTTCTGACCCTTGGGGTGAGCTGGCACCCGGAAGCTGCTTTGACTGAGCATCTGAATAGATGAGGAAGCCCGTGAAGGTAATGTACTTGCCATGGTTGCTGTAGGCACCATAGCCATCGTGCTGATGGCTATAGAGCCAGACAGTGTCCCCATATTGCAGGGGCAGCATGATACTCTGGCTCTGCATCTCCCGCCTCTTGGAGTGGTTGTCATCATAGATCATGGCCTGCACTTCATTGTGGTTCTTCATAAGTTTCACTGACATGGTCTTAAAGGGCATTTTGCCAATGGTGAAGGAAAAGTAATATGCACCAGGTATACGACATGAGAAGATGCCACTAGAAGAGTTAAAATCTTTACCAATATTCACAAACTCCGTGTCAAATGTGATTGGTTCATGCTGGGTTTGCTTGTCATCTGTCCCGAGGAGACTTTGCGAGCGAGCTACAGAAAACGCAGAGCGAGGGTCTTGCTCCCTGTTTGGTTGATCAGATAACATGTGTCGCTGTGAAGCCTCATTCTGCTCTCCTGGAAGTTGCTGAATGGTGTGATGGGGTGGCCCTAGCTCCTGAGAGCTCAGAGCATTCTGGAAGAAGGCAGAAGTGTCTGGATAGATTAGGTAGCCATTGAAAGTTGTATAGGGGCCCACGTTGCTGTAAAGAGCATACTTGGGATCTCCATGTAAACGCAGCCAGACTGTGTCACCGTAGTCAAGCTGCAGCATGGCGCTCTGGCTGGCGACCTTCCGTTCTTTGCGGTGATGTTCATCGTACACAATCACTTGCACCTCATTCTTGTTTCTCATCAGCATGACAGACAAATTTTTCTTCGGGTACTTCCCAACAGTGAAGGAGAAGTAATAGGCTCCAGGGATTCGACATCGGAACAACCCCGTCTTCGGATCAAAGTCATTGCCAATGTTTACATACACTTTGTCAAATGTAATGACCATCTCAGAGCTCCCTTCCATGCTGCTGGTTCTGGCTACAGAGAAAGCAGAACGGAATTCGGTACTGGTGTCAGCTGGGAAGCCATCTGCAGGCAGAAAAAGCACACACCAGAAGAAGACAAACAGGAGCTGAACCTTCGGAGTCATCGTTGTATCTAGAAGAAAAAAGAAGCAGAGTTTACCAGGAATCCCATTAATCTCCAGCTCATACACCAGCTGAGACGCAGACCTGAATCTTGCAAAACAGACATCAAGGTTTAGGTCAAGGACTGAGAAATCTCAAAGGCATTCTCTGGTAAGTGTTTGGGACCATTTCTCAGTTCAGATTGCAACACCATTTTGAAATTTCCCCAGTGATAGCTGGACCTTTTTTTTTTTTCATCCTGTGCTTATAGAAAAAAATGAAAATCTCTTTTGACATCCTGGCTATCTTAGATTTTGTCAGCAGAGAACTGCACTATTCACAATGCAGAGAGATCTCAGAGCACACTGGGGCTCTGCCAAAGCTGCCTGTTGTAATAGTTTTGTTCATACAACCAAGAAAGAAACAAATCCCTACACAGAACCTGCATTATGCAGCTGAGATGCAGCTGAAGGGCAGGGAAAAAAGGACATATGCTCCAGAGATTCCCATGCAGATGCTGCTGCCTGGCACTGCACTCGCTGTTTCACATGGTGTAGAAGCTGGAAGCCAACAAAGTTGGTTGACCCCATTATTCACACAGACTGATGCCTTTTAACCAGGTTCACTGTAGATCTGTGGGGGGTGTAGAGAAATCGGGGGAAGAAGGGTTGTTTAGGGAGGAAGAGTGAAAATGTAGAAAGAAAACAAAATGAAGAGAAAAAAAAAAAAGGAAAATAAAAGACAGATAAAAGACATGATTCTATGATACTATGAAGTCTTCCAAAGTACAGTATTTCAAAAGAGGCACTGAAATACTAGAAATGGGGAAACAACTCACTATCTTCAGAGTAGACCAAAGAGAAAGAGAAAAATCTTTGACCCTTACAAAGGAAGGTCACATTACAAGGTAATGGGATTTTATGCCTCCAGTTTCTGCGATTTTCTGGAGTAAGGCCAAAATTCATCTATTAGCGCTTTCAGGGTGAAAACAAAACTGCCAGTCATTCCAGTGAGAAGCTTCTCTCTCTGTCACCTCTCTCTGCTTATTAAAATATCATTCAGGCTGGGAGGCAACTGCCTGGTTTGTGGTCTGCCCCATCTGTCACCCTAGAACTGACGCCTTGCCAGGCAGCAAACAATGAATTCACAGGCTAGCAAAACGGGAGTAAAACATGCTACGTATTGGAGGAGGAATGAAGATAAATCATGAATTACAAAGGATAAAGGGGTAAGTATTTGAAAGAACTGGGATGACCTAATAATAGAAGATGGAATCCACTAGGCCATGAAATGGCAATGGGATCCCATATTAGAAAGATGTGCTTGCTAAAATAATTCATTAGCAGGAATTCAGTTTGACCTACAGTCCTTGCTCCTTCATACTTGAGAATAAAACTGATTACATGAAAAGGACATACCATATATAAAGAAATATCCATCCATGACCTGATTTTACATTAGATCACTTCTCTCACAAACATCTCCCTGCTCCTGCAATGCTTTCCCAGCCTTAAAATATTTCTCCAGAACACATCCATTGGACCTCATGGGATGCACTGAAAGGGGCTGAGAAAGCTGGCTGATGCCATAGCGAGGCTGCTGTAACATCTTTGAAGGGCTGCTCAGGTCAAAGGAGGTGCCTGATGACTGGAGAAAGTCAAATCTTGCACCCATCTTCAGAGAGTGCAAGCAAGACATTTGAGAAACTAACACCCAGCTAGCCCCACTTCGATCCCTGGGAACATCACGAAGCAGGTCTTGGTACACCCAAGACTGGGTTCAGTGAGAGAGGTGATTAAGGGACTAGGAACAGTCAGCATGGATTGCCCAAGTGTAAATCATGCCTAACCAAACTGATTCCCTTCTGTGATAAAGTCACTATATCTGTGGATAAGAACAGTGGGTGCTATTTACCCTTTAGCAAGGCTCTTGATAAATCCTCCAACACATTCTCATATTCAAGCTGGGATGTTTCAATCTAGGTAGGCGGTCATGATGATGGACTAGATGGATGAAAAGCTGTTTGGGTGGTCAGACTCAAAAGTTCATGATTAACTACTTGTTTTAGAAAAAATATCTTATTTAATGCTTTTATCAGTGACGTGGAGGAGGAAACAGAATGCTAATTCATCTGTGTCAGATAATTCTCCAGTATGAGGATGTCACTGGCCAGACAGAGCCAGGCTCCTGAGGCTCATGGTGGGAAGACAAGGGAGGATGGTCCTAAATAAAAAAGAGAAGGTTTACACTGGGTATAAGCAAAAAAATCACTGTTAGTATAATTACAATTGGAATAGTTTATTAAGAAAGACTGTGGAATCTCTATCCTTGAAAGGTTTCAAGACCAGACTGGATGGAGCCCTGAATAGCCTGATCTGCGTTCAGTGTTGGCCCTGCTTCGAACAAGAGCTTGGATCAGGGACCTCCAGAGACGTAATTCCTGGTTCGATAATAGCTGATTCCCACAGCTCCTGCCTTCTCAGAACTGCAAATCCACCACATTATTAACTCCTACCCATGACAAACGCAGCTAAAGGCAGCTCGGAGACTATCTTTTTATCTAGCAAATTAATCCAAGAAAGCATTTTTAATGGACCTGTTAAGCAATGGCTAATTGATGTGCATTTACTTCTGTGGTCTTTATTTCTCTTCTCTTTGTCTTTTAGTTTGTAAGCTCCTCAGGGCAAAGATTCTCTCTTCTCCTACATCTGTACAGTATTTGGCCACTGCTGCTGTTTAAACAACAGTAATAAGCCCTAACATCCCACCAAGAACTAAATCCCAAATAGTCACATTCGGAACTCAGCCTCTGCTTCAGCAGAATTAGATTTGCAGAGCACTCTATATCCAGCACTGAAGGCTTATTTCAACTCCCAGCTTGGAAAATCAAGCCCTAAAGGCAAACTTAAAAGGACTATTAGATGTTTCTGACTCATGCTCATCCACTGTTACTGCAGTGATCACGACGGTGTGGCTGCACGGAGCACCAGGATGACTGTGACATTGCTGCATGCTCTTGAGACAAGAAATGACAGGAAAGGATTTGGCATTTGTGTTTTCAGCCACTCTAACCGGCCACTCTAAAGCACTGCCTGTGCTCCGGGGCTTGCTCAGTGTATCTGGGAGTTGGGGAATATATCAGAAGCAGAGCTCTTCTGGCCAAACAAATGCAAAAAGACAAAGCAATTTAATAAACTCTTCAGTGAATCTGACCTAATGTTCCTTCAAATGACAGCTACCCTTGTTTCAATTCCAAAGCTAATTTCTTTGCAATAAGGTCACTTTGAAAAAAAGGTTAGATCAACCAGTTACAGTTACGAAGACTCTGCTGCTGCAGAGGCCCTTATTTATCAGCTCTTCCCAATAACTCATGGGAAAGGCATTTAAATAAGGCAGTTAATTATGCTTGTTACCATTAGCGTGTTGTTTCCTTGGCAGCTCCCCCTCACCACTCAGAACTATTTAGGTTGTTTACCTATTTGAAGTAATGTAAAAAAGTATCTAAAGACAGGTTTCACACTAAATAAGCTTAAGAATAATTTGTCAATCATTTAGAAAACTCGGATAGCTACGATGGTGCTATAAACAGAAGCAACTCACAACAACTTTTGAGCTTGAGTATCAACGTAGCAAGATTGAAAGATACAGCCTCTAAAATGCTGTCTTGCTCCTCCAGCAGCTGCATCTGTTCCCCAAGTCTTTTACTGTGGCTACTTTCCTGCAGGGAGTGTCTAGAAACAGGTAACGTCAAGGGTGTATCTGCCTTAAATTCATACTTTGGCATTAGTCTTGAAACTGCAGAATGAAGGGAGAGACTCGGGCCAGAGGGGAAATTGGTGTTCAGCTTGGGTGGCACAGGGGTCAAGGACAGCAGCTGCGCTACTCCTTTGTCCCCGACCCTGCTGTTCCTTAATCATGGCAGCACCTGCAGTGCTGAAGTCCACAGAGCAGACCCGAGGGATAAACAAGATATGCTAGGGCCTTTACACCAGGCTCTGCCAACAGGGGCAGTGGCCTACAGGGAAGAAGAGAAGAAACTAATTTTAGATTTGGAGGTGCAAAGCAGATGAAGGAATTAAATGGTTCTCAAAGGCACTGACATTAAATTAATGACCCAAAAAGAAGGGACTAAAATGGCAGTGCCTCACACAGCAAGATCGAAGTCGCAAACCTTTTATTTGAAAAGAAAGAGAGAATTCACCACCTGGCATGACCCAGGAAACTTAATGAATAGCTTTGTGCTGGCTGGAGGTGATTTTTCTGTCCTGGAACAGAATCAATCCACCAGTGGAAAGACAATTAGCTTTATCCTGCCACTGAAATGCACAGATTTAGAAAGGTGCTTTCAATAATAGAAAGGTGACCCCGTTTCTAGATTTAGAGGCCAGATCTTTTTGTAAAACTCATGATCCTCTCTGCTGACCCAGTGCTCAATATTAATGAGCTACAGTCATAATTAATAATTTCAGTGAGAGTTTTACCCATATGATCACTGAAGAATGAGATATAAAATTAAAGCGAAGTAAAGCAGTTGGATTAATTGTAAAAGTTCATAGAATCCTGTAAGCTGCAAAAGGGATGCCCTCCTCCTAGCTCTTACTCTAATATTCAAGGACAGCTGCAAGTGCCGCAATTATTTTAATCAGCAAAAGCCTGTGTAATGAGCAGCCTTCTTGGCCTTTGGTTAGCAAGAGTTTTTTCTTCCCAGACACTACACACTGTCCCACTCACTAAAGGAGCATCAGCTAATGATGCAAACGCGTCACTTCTTATAACATCAAGGAGAAATTAATTCCTCGAAAGTAAAATCAGTATAAAGAGCACTGTGTGACAAACTCAATGATTCACTTATGGCTTTCACTTTTCTTTGCTTTTGATGAATGCGGGCTTTTCTTTTCTGTTGTTTGTTTGTTTTTGAACTCTGGAACAATCCTGAAGGATAAAAGACTGTCTGAAGCATTTGGGATGCTTTTTTTTTTTTTTTTTTTTTTTTGAAATTACAAGCAACACTTTAAATTGCAGAACTG